CTGGCGAAATCCACTAACTAGTCTGAATGGATTCTGACTACTCGAATGGTTCAGTAGTACATTTCATTAGTTCCTAACACTTTTTTCAGAAATTACATTTTGTGATCTTAGCTGGGTTGTTGAGGTCGTAGTTGGACATACTAAAAGCTACTCAGCTGTGAGAAGTGTCAACGTAAACCGTGGAATTTGAGAATTAATCACTCTATTTTGGGGATACCGATTTATGTAGGTCACCTGACCAGATCCCGATGTTCTGAACAATTCCGCTCTGTGAACTGAATTTGTTTCAGTACACTGTTGATAGGCTTGGCTAGAGATGAGCAAAATGATCTTCTGATGCTTATATCACAGCACTGGTACTGATAGTTGTAATGAATTATATCTTTTCAGAACATCGATAAATTTATACAGAGTTATGCAAGGAAGAAGTTTATCTAAAACAGATGATGCATTAGCGATATATATTTCAAACTATTTGATTTCTCATGAACTTCTGGAATTATTTATCTTCAAATTTATCACAAAGGTCAATTAAGTCAGTAGGAAACATATGGATCAGAAGGACAGGAAAAAAGAGAATCTAATCGAGGTTACTCTTGATATGAAAATTAAAACCGCTACTACCAAGGTAAGTTAGAAGTGAATATAAATTGTTTTTGTCTGCATAAAGAAGGTCAAAATTTAGAAGTGGTAATAAGTTCGATAAATTTAATTACTCTGCCCTAACTACGTATATGTAGTGCTTTGATGGCTATGTTATTGCTTGTAATTCCTCATCACTTATTTGACCGAGTTGACCGGTTTTTATTGACATATAGGCTCCTACGCAGATGCCTTGATATTACCTGTAGTTTCACTATAATAGTATTGATTGTGAGTGGCTAGCATTAGAACCTAGGATACCTGTTTAGTCCTATTTAGGACTCGTCGGCTGGATACACCTCCCTCATAGTAAGTAATGTTGTTCCGGCTAATTCTCGAACCCAAGACGATTTGCTTCAGACGCCAGAGCATCATCCACTAGGCTATTAGGTCATGATAGCCGGGAAATTTTGCTTGTATGTTTGTTTGAACTTATTGTAAATATGTTTGTTATGAATATTTACACACAATGATGTTGGTTAATTTTAATATTTCCAGCAGATATATTGCCGGTGACCACAGTACTCATTTGAATCACTTGTCTATACATTTACGGATGCATATCAACTTGAAATCAGTCAATAAATTCAGATAAACGTGATTGGAGGTGAAATGGAAGTTTAGCCTGGGACAAGATTCGAACCAGTGACCACCCGGTTTCCTGCCCAGTCCTCTACCAAAGGCGCCACGAGGTCCCGCTGCTGATCGAATCTTTATTTCACTTCAATCAAATCAAATTTCTGTATTTTTGTCACCCTGTGAGCAAACCTTTAGTTAGTCCTTGATATCCATCCAGTTCGATTTTGAGTTATCTCGACGCTTAAGTGACTGTAAAGACCGCCCTAGCAACTGCTGAGATAATGAATTACGTTTATTTATGTTGTTAAAAACTCTCTTCCTGGCCGGAATACTAAAACCTAATTGATTATTTCAGCAGTTACTAGGGCGGCCTTTACAGTCACTAAAATCTTTAAAGTAAGTAGCTTATCGGACAGTCATCACGAGAGATTTTGTGTGCTACATTCTTTTCTGTTCAATTTCTTCATTGTTTCTTTTAGATGATTTAATTCCCTTTTGAAAAGTGATTCATTGGTTGAAATGTGACTGGAACACTTGCCCTTCTGAGATTTCTTTCGATTGCCTCCAATGTTTTTTTCTTCTGAAGTGATAATGCGGTCTTTTCAAGTTCATTTTCCCTACCACTTTTAGCTTTTATTCCCCATGTTTTTTTCTTGATGTTATCTTTTACCAATTGCTTAGGATAGTAATTTCGTAAAAGTGTTTTGAATAAAATTTTTATTTCTTTTCACTGAGCATTGGGGTATGTAGCCATTCCATTAAAAAGACTGCGCATTAATACACGTTTTACATTGAGTGGATGCGCTTAGTGGAAATCCAAAAATCTCTCTTAGTGCATAGACTTTCAGTCGATACTCATCTTTAAACTGCCACCAACTGTTCTTTGTACTTTACAGTTTTAATACCTACCTTATGACTAGTTTCTATTACATGTTTTGGAATAGCTGAAAGTCGACATTTGTCATCTGTACTTATCGGATAAGTTGAGGTCACCGGTTTTTTAATATCCAACTATCCTTAACTGAACTTTATGACAAATTTCTCTATTAAGTAATTTGATAAATCAATCCACGTCCCGATCCTTTGAAATATACACGTGTCTCAGATGATTTCTGTCTTCTCGTTACGTTGGATAAACATTTGTAGAATCTCAGAGAATCTGGCTTATTCGCTATCATTTTGTAGGATTTTAACGTACAATTCAATCAACCTTTGAATATGTTCTTCTGACTAACTTGCTGTTGTTTTTTCATTCAGAAAAGTCTTCAGACAATCAACAGAATGTCTTGTCATAGTAAATCTCGTTGGATTTGTATCATATTATAAAGATGAAGATATACATGAATGATTTGACGAGTATTTATTTTACGGTCAATTAAACTTAATTTTAAAGATGGAAAACATACAAAGAGCAACCTTTCGTTGCGTTACAACTCTCAGAACTATTCTTTTCTGTTCTCAAGCATTTCCCAACTACTTAGAATTATTTTATTTTATAACAATAACAAAAATAGTACCAGTGATTACACATGGAGATGAAAGTTTCAAGAAAACTTTTCAATCAATAAGCTAGAGTAGATAGATTTTATCCAAAAAGGATGAGCCAGTATGATACAGTAATCATGACAGTTTAGGTGTACAATGAATTTACTGATCAAAACTAAAATTTGATTTTAACTATACGGGATTCTGATATCAAATTTAGATGTTACTGTGGAAGTGTTACAGTGAAGAAGTGAACAAATCTCCTATTTTCCTTCTGGAAATAATGAAGCTACTATTGTTACGTACTTATTTGTTTCCCATTCACTCTCCTTTCTTCCAATCAATACTTTTCTTTGCTTTACTATCATCTTCTATACTATGTAAAAGTATACATAGAAGAATCATTGTATATTTTCACCACATACAAAGTGGTTGTATCTGTTCTTATCGCATATACAAGTGGAATTCCCCTACATTGAAACAAATCACGGTCCTAAATCATTGGATACAAGTTGATGTATAAGATTTTGATAATATTCCTTGAATGTTCCCTACAACCTCATTTCAGTGATAAGTGAAAAATAAGTCCAGAACTAGACTTTTGCTCTTTCATCGACACATGTTTTGAATGTGAATATGAACATTCTGTTAGCAATATGCAAACCGATTCCGTTCATATTAGTTTGTTTGGTTATGGCTGGCAGAGGAATCCAGGATGTGCGTTTCATCCTGTTTGGGACTCGTGATCTGGATATAACTGCACCCCAGTGAGTGATGTTGCTCCCACTGAGACTCGAACCTCGTACCCATAGCTTTCAACGCCGTGGTGTTATCTACTATCCCATATAGGAATCATAACCACTTCTTGCATAACAGGTGGTAGTTATTACTACTTACTGACAACTTATAATTCTCTGTTGTTTTCTTGGATCGAATTGTTCGGCCTCTATTGGCACATGACCTCCTATGTGGATGCCTCGATGTTACCTGAATGTTAATCAAGGTAATTTGTTTGGTTGTGGCTAGCAGAGGAATCCAGGATGCGCGTTTCCTCCTACTTGGGACTCATAAGCTGGATGTACCTGCACCTCAGTGAGTTACGTCGTTCCCACTAAGACCATATGCCGATAGAGGTAGAAAAATTCGATCCAATATAACAACGGAGAATTTCAAGTATGTCAGAAAATAGTTATAACTCAATTTATGTTAAGATTTACTAATTATGTACATAAAGAACAATTATTATGATGCGATAAATAGATAAAAACGCCTTTAAAATTACGGTTTCCGAGATTCAGTTTTTGTGAAGAAATTATTGACAATTTGGATACAGTTGGATCTTCTTTTATGCTAGTTGTAGCATTCAATCACATTTTGTCCAAAGGTACATCTTTTCCTTTAACTGTCTCCTGTTTCCAATGTGTTCCAATAAAATGGATCAGCAATCCATTTCTATACTGTCTTGAATGTGATCACTCCTTCTCTTCGACACCTTTTATCTTCGAAATATATGTTATGAACGCTTACATCCTTTACATTCCCCATCTCTTCCAGTAACTAATTAGAAAGCAAACAATAAAAGTTAGTGACTGAACATCAGGTTTTTCGGTTCATTAGATTGATTATATTTCAAGTAATAGATAAATATACTTCGTTAAGTCTTATAATGAGTAGTTGCAAACAATCGAATTCCATTGCCCACTGTCTCAAATACTAATCCTTGAAAGCTTAAGAGCTTTACTGGGATTATATTCAATGTTTCGTGATAAAAAATCACTAAGGTGAGACTTAGGTTGAATTTTTTTTTCCTATTCACTTCAGCGGACTATCTAACCGTGTGCTAAAATGCGTAAAAGACAATGAACAAACCCGATTTCGTATTGGTAAGCTACTTAACCAGTTCAAATCAAATAACTGCTGCTTTTCTTTTAACAAAGAATTCAATCATTTAAGAATGCCCAAAGTTTTAATCTATCCACAAATTATACGGTTATTGAAACCAGTTCCTTGATATACCGTTAATTTCATTGTATAAACAGTTAAAAATCATTGGTTCACTTCAGTAAATTTTATACGAATATTAAGTATGAATTTACAGAAAATATATTTGAATTATACTACACTATATGAACGGTAGTAATAGTGGTAGTAATAATAGTAATGATGATTTTTTATTAAAAATTGCTATTTGGTTCAATCCAGAAGTATAACAGAAACTTAAAACAGTAGTATAAACTATGTGAAGTAAATTAATATGCAATAATGAATCAGCAAATCAGAACTCAGTTGAAGAAGTTAAGTTTAGAGATAAAAAAAGACTAATCCAGAATTCAAATATACAAAGATATTTCATATTGATTGAAAAGTTAAACATTAATACATTTTGTTTTAGTTTGCTTTTTTGTCCGCCATTGTTTTCAGTAACACTTTTTTAAATTTAAGAAAAACTCCCCATCTAAATGATTGAATCTTAATTAATGTTGACTATTAAGGTTTTGAAAATTTTTTATCCTTAGTGTTGTTAATTTTTTCAGAGGTAATGCAATGTACAAATTGAAATTAATGAACTCATTATGCAATGATTTAACAAACAGTTTTCAATGAATTCTTGTATAATTATAAAATATTACTATAAATGATTTATTAATTGTATGTATTTACAACTGATGAATAATTTGTTGTTTATTTCTATTTGTTTTAAAGGTGAACTTTAATGCCGGTTAATTCAATGTATCAATTGTCTCTATCAAATCTATGCTACTGGTTCTTTCATCCATTGGTGAGATAGATGTTTCAGGTACTGAACTTCTTGTCGATGAGAAACTCAGTCTAGCATATTTATTTTTTAAAAGATTTTTTAACTTATTTTCAATTAATATTAACCATGACCATAATGAGACACCAGAACCAACAGCCATTAGTGCTGATTGTAGTATAATATAATCTTTAATCGATGAAAATAACAATCTGCATGGTAGATTATTGTAACTTGCAATACATTCTCCGTGTGTAGTAAAACACTGGCATGTATTCTTTAAAATCTCATAACAACATGGTTCAATAAAATTGAGAATATTCGAATAATTGGTTATCAGTGTGAAGTTATCATTCTTTGTTTGACTGGACTTGGTTTTATTTTCATTCTCTTCTGTGTTTTGTCGATGTGATATAGGAGGAATTCTACAGGTGTTATCATAGGAAGCGATTAAACTACCTTTCTGTCCAGCATATACACTTGTTACAAGGCATATAATGAAGCATATGAATGAGAATATACTAGATACAACCTAAAATAACAGAAAAAGCAAAAGTACAAACTGGTTAATCTGAAAACAAGTAGAAAAAATTCATGATAATTCATACTGAGACTCAGAGTAATTCAGTATCACCTTCAATATTGATTTGTGGGATGTCTGAACAACCAGTTAGATAACTCCTGCAGAACAATAACCTGTAGGAATCTCTAACTAAAATCTGCAGGTTAAAGTTTAGTGCGTGAACGACTATGGATGCTGTGATACTGAAATACACATCTGTCGAATGAGCTGATGCTTTTTTTGAGAAGCATAGATACTACAACAAAATGAACCTGTATATATAAGGATTTTTATCGAAAATTCAGCTTTAAGCCATATAAGATAATCATCCTTAGTATCAATTCACCAACAGTTTGATAACATGGCATATCTTGTTAGAAAGTAGATTACTGAGGCTATTCAGAATGAGAATATGGATCCGAACTCCTCTGTATTGACGATATTTTCGATTATATGCAAATCATGTGAGTCATAAATCCTTCTCCCTGCGTGTAGACACAAACTGGAACCGAAATTCTCCATGCTTATCACTTAGATTGTTTAAAAGTTAATAAATTCATCTCAAAAGATTAGAAAATTTGAATCGATTTATTTCATTCCAATATAACGACCGGATGACACATTATCTTGCGTTTATTATCTGCTATAAACATATTTTGATGCTTCAATTCCATTACTCTGTTGAAGAGTGTTTGACTGCAGTAACAGTACCACTAACGAAAAGAAGTCTAAAAATATTTGACAAAGAAAAATCTCTTTAAAAATAGTTCCATCTGAAGACTTTATTCACTTTAGGTTGGTATTCATCACTGACTGATATAAGATGGAAGACTATCGGAAAATTAGGAGCACTAAAGAGGTGTTTCGTCCCAATGTGAGATTCCTTAGAAGTACGCACTTATAACCTCACCAGAGAATTCGGAAGATAAGGAAGATTGGATCCCGATCCAGTGGCTTAATCGTAACAAACTAGCAGTAGAATCTGAAATCCCAGGTTTTGGTCCTTGATGAAATCACCGGTGCCCACTACTGAGGAGTCCCGTACTATGGTGAAACACCCGTCCCCAGGTTTCAGTGGATCTTCAACTGATAGCAGTCCTTGACGAATACTAATTTGAAATAATTGTTGTATTTTTAAACATCGATGCAAATATTTCAGAGGTACAAAACACACTTATATTAGTCTATTGGCAAAATTCTGGTTTAGTTTAAAAGTTAAACAGTCTCTCAACGTAGGTTTTGCTTTTTGTCCAAGACTAAGTCACTATTTAATATTGAAGGAAAAAAAGTAGCCGTTTATTAGTAGAAACAATAATATTTGTCACCAAGTAACTGAATAAATACAAATGCTGACCTGAGCATTCTTAATTCAGGTTACATGAGTAGCACACTTTCACTTTCTTCAGCAAAAGCTTTAATTCTGAGAAATTTATTGGTTTTACGCTTTGATAAGATTCATCATTAGTAGCTTCATGAACTTTTGAAATCCAAAGTAATTCATCCTTTCTTAACAAAACCCTAATCCAAATAGTAATCAAGTAGTCATTATTGTTCTGCATCCAATTGCACTTCTCAATGTTTCAACGGTATACATTGGCATTCCACAGCAACTAAGTCACTATGATTAATTAATGCTCAAAAATAATGTTCATCTATTATCATTAACGAATGATGCTTTAACATAGTAAGAGATTTCGCCTTATAGGTTCAAAAATTAGGTTACTGAAGCTGCCAAATCGTAAGGTACACAATGGGCTAAATGTTTAGGATCAAAATATTGAAGACACTCAATACCTACTGAGTTTAATGGCATTTCAGTAAATGAAGTGCTGGCCGACTTCAAACTTTGTGCAAAACCAGAGAAATTATCAGTCTTTTCCATTGATGTATGACCGAAAACTCATTCACTTACTAAAACATCACCTGTACATTGGCCTCGTTCTTATGTGTAACATATTTAAAAAATTATAGTGCATTACCTTACAAAGTGCCTTCACATAAGGTATACTCATGCTGCTGTGTCTACAAACCTACTAACATTACGATTCATACAATTCTCAGATTCTATCAGTTTAAGTAAACAGTTCATCGCAATGGATCTAAATGAGGTACATTCTACGATGCTAAACGAAGTAACCACAGAAAATAATTGTAAGTGAAGGAATAAGCAGTAATTGACAATGATATCTTGCTTGAGATTGGAACTTTCATGAATAAAAACATCAACTTGAAGTATAGTTGAATGATAACTAAGATTTTTGCTGCTTATAAATTCTCATTCAACACGCAAATACCTTTTTCACTCTAGTTAACCTTAATTCCATCGGAGAACAACCAATGGAAGTAAATGATTTAATCAAGCTATGGGTACTGAAAACAAAATGGGACAAGATTCTGATGTTCTACAGTGAACAGTGCTCCAATTGTTTATACCTAACACTCAACAACAATGGAATCCGTTTCGAAGTTTATGGTGTTAACATAGGTTCCAGAGGCTAAACAGACAAGTGAGTAGATGACCGTCTCATTATGAAGGCACTGCTTTCTTTTCATAAGTGGACAAAAGCTAAGTTGTTAAGTTGCATGGAACGCAAACTCCCACTAGGCTTAGCCTTTAAAATGTATCAGTTGATTCTATCACACAACTCATTAGTAAGATACAGAGGTAGAATATAGAAGTGCTGATTATCATACTGAGGTTATCATTGTAACTGTGTTTCCATATAGAAATTAACAGGAACTGAACACTACAATTCTATACTGTATCTACTTGTCATAGCCATTCACATATGAAAAACATTCCTTCATTGTCTCTTAATTAAGTTCATAATCACTCACTGTTTGACACATAATAGTATCTTCAAGTAAGTCATAAAAAATGTTTCTGTTTCTGAAGATTCATGCTCTTATCACCAGATATACTATTGTCAATGTATAGTTTTTGGTAAGCAAGCTGTTAGAAAAAAGTGATAATTAAAGCCAACTGACAAAGAATACACAGCGTGGAAGGTATTCCATACCAATGGTTTAACTACTTAAGGAATGAATAAATGTGTGATATGTACAATCTTGAAAAATCGAAGACAGATGCTAACAAGTATTCTTAGGATTAGCAGCTCGATACTAAACAAGTTGCTTTTCAGACTTCATGAATAATTCATGGAGTTGCTTTTCTTTGCAGTTAACTCACAATTCATTATATTCTATGACTTTGAGACCAAGATGGAAAATAGTTTTCATTTGTTAATTTCCAACAATGGCAGTAAAAGCAGTTAATCATGAAACATTACTAAATGTACAACGTTGCATAACCACGTTGATAGGCATCACTTTCATGTGTACATATTCTTAAGAGATTGAATAAAAGCATTTTCCGGTACATAAATAATAATAACACCGACCAGTGAGTACCTTTCATTCATACGAAAGTCAATTACAGTTTACTCTGATTCAGCTTGTATTCCAAACGTTTTCACAATCGAATGATGTAGTCTAGCTAATGTACCACCCACGGTAACAGGATAACTGAACTGTTTTCAGTGATATTTTTTGCTTTATTATTTGTCTTTTAGGTTCCTAGTAGAACATAGGGCTTCAGCAACACGCTACCATTACACTCTTTTGTCTGCAGTCTTTCCAACCTGGTTTCATCACTGCCCATACGCTTTCACTTCTTCCTCACATGATCTCCATCTCACGCTCGGACACCAAACTCTTCAGTTTCCATTTGGGTTCCACTCGCAGGCTTGGCATGTCTGGCGCGTGATGTCCCTAAGTGGTCTTCTCAGTGTATGTCTAATCCAATCCATCTACACATTCTTGTGCATATTTCTTGGGTGATCATTTCTTGGTTAGTTCGTTGTTGGAGTTCTTCGCTGCTTATTCTTATTATTCTGGCCATCTGATCTTCAGTATCGAGTGAGCATAGGCGGCAACTCTTGATGTGATGTATGTCTGTAGTTTGTTGGAAAAGCTTTCCGTGACGCGCCGCCAAGTCTGTCAACCATCACATGGAAGCACTGACTTACTTGAGTGACATTAGTGTTGAGTATCTGGATCATGTTCACGCTTTATGCTGAGTGGAGTGGAGTGAAGTAAATCTCCATACTGATTTCAGATTGATGAAGGGAGGCCTGTCTTGCTGTCTTTTGGATAGTGTCTATGACATCGTCATGTATGCCGTCGCTTGTGGTTGAAATGATGCTGCCTAGGTAGATGAAAGAGACTACTTCCTCTAGATTTCTCCCGTTGGTGGTGATTGGTGCTTGTTGTTGATTGGGATTCAGTCATATACATATATGTAAATATATTCAATCTTAGCTTTTGTTACGTAACAATATCGTTTGAAGTTGATAAACTCTAGCAAACCACATTTTAATTGCATTTCAGAACTCATCAGTGATTCGATTTGCGATGAATCCTGACAAGAAGTCATGACTTGTTGAGTCAAACAAGCTGAGAGTAAAGCTGGACCCCCATGGATCCCATTCAATGAAGTGACAGAAGTAGGAAAATCAGAACCACGTAATTCGAAATGGGAGGCTGCACAGTAACCCTCTTACCAGGAGACTCGGCAGTTCTTAGCTCTATATCTCATTTGTTCGTGGGTGTCTAGTGCTTAGGAGTACAAAATCAGAGCAAAACAGTTGTCTAATACCCCTGTTTTTTTGATAGTTTTCCATTCAATATCACTTTGTTAGGAAACAATGCCAGAATAGATAAATATGTACAGGCTTATTTAAATAATGTAACATCTTGAAGATCTGAGATTCGTCTCAGGTATATGGGACTGTGAATTTCAACAGATAAAAACAAATATGACAGTTGATTGGACTATTTATTGCAACCTTACACTACCAGACTCCTATACAGTAGATAAGTGATGGCTAAATGAAATAACTATACTGTTGTAGTAGATGAAGCTAGTTGCCTACATGTCGTTTAGTTATCAGTATCATTTCACTCCTCAT